TCACCAAAATGTCCGTGCACAGTTTTTAGGAGGCCTCCAGAGTGCTCCTGGGAGCTGGGGAGGGCAGAAATGAGTGAAAAATGGACCATTTTTAACTCAATTTTGCCCCCCCCCCAGTCCCCAGGAGCACTCTATAAGTGTCCTAAAGGCTATTCATGCCCTTTTTTTTTGACAAAAAACGGGCCAGTTTTTGTGAAAAACGGGCCGTTTTTTGCTCATTTTTGGCCCACCTCCAGCCCCCAGGAGCACTCTACAAGCCTCCTAAAGGCTATTCATGCCCTTTTCTTTTTTGGGAAGAAAAACGGGCCGTTTTTGGGAGGTTTGCAGAGTGCAAAACTTTTTTTTTTTTATTTGCCTCTTCAAAACCTTGGTGCGTCTTATACTCCAAAAATACGGTAGATCTTTTTAACATTGGTTTTATTGGGTTCTACTAATCTAAATGAAATGACGGTATATATTTCTAGTCGGTGTATCAAATGCCATATGCTAAAATGAACAAGCTTCCCAAAGAGGCGTTGTGCCACATTAGTGCTATTTCATTTGTAACCCCTGCCTGTTTAAAGTTGCAGAAATTTATTTCTCTGTGGGAATTGTTCAACTCGACTTTTCTCCTCCCTTCAGTCCGTAGGTCTCTCTGTTGCTGCAGCAGGGCTGTTTCACAATGACGGCAGCGAACTGATTCTCCACTTTGTGTCCCGGAGTAACTCCAAACTCTCAGAACTTCTTGAGGAACAGCACAAGCTGGTACAACTTGGCCAACTGGAGTGAGTTCCCAGGCAGAGGGAGAGAAGGGGCGGGGCTGCGTTTAGGCTTCTAAACCAGCAGTGCGTGGGAATGGTAACTGCACTGAGCACGGGAAGGTTACTCCAGAAGGGAGCTTTGGCAGGTAACCTGCCTCTGGCATCCTGAGTACAGACGTTGAGCGAGAGAGAGAGACAAGAGTGAATTGCACTAAATCATTCTTCTCTTTTGAAAGGAAGAAGAAAACAGACCAGTTTATAAAGGATGCTTTAGAAGCCAGGCTGAGAATGCTCATTCCATTTATTGAAAAATGGCCTCAGGTATAAAACTAAACTGCTTTTCTTGGTGTTTCTTGCAATGTTCCTAGATTATCTCAGTGCATTTAGAAAAGAACATGTCGATGGTTTAAGCTTCTCTGTTTCATGATCCGATCCAACAGAAAGAAATTACTTCTTTTTTCTCCTCTCTTGTGCGAATGAACTCCCAACCCCAAGTCCGAACGGATCTTCTTTTCTTGCTTGGATGGATCCCCGAAGTGGTGCTTTTGTCTAGAGAGGGAAGACAGACAGCAATGCCCCAGTTTTGATCCTAGCTGGCTCTTTTTTCTGATTCGGTCTTTGTGACTTTCTGAAACAAAATTTAAAAGACTTTTGGCCCTAAGGAATGCAGTGACATTCATCAAGTTAAAAAAAGATTGTGTTTGTGTGTTAATACATGCCACACGGATATGGTTTGTGTATGTAGATGGCTGAATAAAGATAGATAAGATGTAAATTGTAGACGATAGACAGAAAGACATCATAATAGAGCTGGAAGGAACTTTGGTGGTCTTCTAGTCCAGCCCTCTGCTCAAGCAGGAGACCCTACACCATTTCAGATAAGTGACTGTCCAGTCTCTTTTAAAAACCTTCAGTGATGACACACCCACAATCTCTGAAGGCAGCTGTTGCACTGGTTAATTGTTCTCACTGTTAGGAAGTTTCTCCTTAATTCAAGGTTGCTTCTCTCCTTGATTAGTTTCCATCCATTGGTTCTTGTCTTGCCCTTAGGTGCTTTGGAAAATAAATTGATCCCCTCTTCTTTGTGGCAGCCCCTCAAATACTGGATACTGCTATCATGTCCCCCCTAGTCCTTCTTTTCTCTAGACTAGTTAAACCCAAATCCTACAACCATTTTTTTATTTATTTTAGTCTCTAGGCCTTTAATCATCCTAGTTGCTACTCTCTGCACTTTTTCCAAAGTCTCAACATCTTCTTTGTAATGTGATCAAAATTGGATGCACTATCTCAGGTGTGGTCTTACTAAGCCTATATAAAGCGGTATTAATACTTCACATGATTTTGATTCTATGCCTCTGATTATAAAACCAAGGATTGTGTGTCTGTGTGTGTGTGAGAGAGAATCTGAGATAGATAGATAGATAGATAGATAGACAGACAGACAGACAGACAGACAGACAGACAGATAGATAGATATACGATACGATACGATGATACGATAGATATGATAGACAGACAGGTAGGAAAGAGTGGTGTAATGGCAGAGTTGCTAAAACAGGAGTTTGGAAACTCAAATCTACCCGTAGCTGTAGGAGTTCTCTGGGGGAGTTAGCTCCTGTCCCTCTTCTCAGAGCCAATAGAATATAGTGGCAACAGTGCTGGACTAGGAGCAGAAAAATCCAGGTGTGAAGATCCCAAGGGATGACCTAATTATTTTACGAGCCTCGAGACAAAGTTTAAAAAAATCCATTCATTTAGTAGGATCAGCATCTTGGCATGATCTCCTGTAGAGTCGAAACTGAATTCCACTTAATGGCGTCTGAACTTTACACCTGTGTCCCCTCCCCTCTGCCTGAAGTCATAAATCACATTCGCCAACAAGATGTTATGGCAGGTTATGGACATACACATTCACATGCCAGTTGCAAGAATATGAGATTTGACTCTGGCCAAAAGTATGCATGGACTTCTCCTCCCTTCTCGAGTTGATAATAGTCATGGAAACGCAATACCAGGTTCTACTCCCCCCTCAATCACAGAGACTGGAGATTCAATCCCTGGAGACTTGGGCAAGTCCTTCCCTCTTGATGCCAGAACCAAGATGGGGTAGCAGTGAAGGGACTTCCCTGGGAATAGGGAGACCCTGGTTCCAGTCCCCCTTTAGATCAAGAAACATTTGAAGACTTTAGGCCCATCATTCTCTCAGTCCAGCCCTGCTTTACAGAGGGAGGCTAGTCTGAGAGCGTCCAGCTAAGAGGTCTTTGGAATTGGGCAGTTTATAAATTCAAGTCAACAAATAAAAAAATTACTCATTATTTTTTCACATTTCGGAACTGCCCATCTCCTCAAGGAGGGACTCTTTGTTGTAGTGAAGGAGAGGAAAATGGAGAACCATATCTGATGCCTTCCGTTTCTGTACAAGAGGCTAGAATCTTATTCATGAATCATAAAAAAATATTCACTTGCCATCAGATCAAATTTGTCAGCCATCTAACTCTTACTGGATGGCTCCAGGAATCTGAATAACAGAAACACAGGATTGGGAAGGACCTTGGAAGTCTTCTAGTCCAACATCCTGCTCAAGCGGGAAACCCCATCCACACAAATGCCTGTCTAATCTCTTCTTAAAAATCCCCAGGGATGGAGCACCCAAAACCTCTCAAGGCAAAGCCATTCCACTGGTTAATTTTTCTCCCAGACAGGAAATTTGCCTTCTAGCCACTCAGATATTGGAACACTGTTATCATGTCACTCCTAGTCCTTCTTTTCATTAGATTAAAACGGTAAAGGTTCCCCTTGCACATATGTGCTAGTCGTTCCTGACTCTAGGGGGCGGTGCTCATCTCCATTTCAAAGCCGAAGAGCCAGCGCTGTCCGAAGACGTCATGTCATGTGGTCCGTGCATGACTCAACGCTGAAGACACACAGAACACTGTTACATTCCCACCAAAGGTGGTTCCTATTTTTCTACTTGCATTTTTATGTGCTTTCGAATGGCTAGTTGGTAGAAGCTGGGACAAGTAACTGCAGCTCATTCTGTGACGTGACGCTAGGGATTTGAACCGCTGAACTGCCAACCTTTCTGATTGATAAGCTCAGCGTCTTAGCCACTGAGCCACAGTGTGCCTAGATTAGACATACCCAATTCGAACCTAGGAAAAAAAGAAAGTCAAAAAACCCATTAACTCTTTCTGCTTAAGTTGGTTGGGTTGAGAGTAAAAGACACTCTGGGCAGCATTCAAGGTCTAGGGACAGGGGTCTCCAAACTTTATGACTTATGGACTTCAACTCCCTGAGTGCTGGCTAGGGAATTCTGGGAATTGGAGTCCACAAAGCTTAAAATTGCCAAGTTTGGAGACCCCTGCTGTAGAATAAAGGAGGAACTTCCATCTCCTTGGCCTAATTTATCTTATTTGGGTATCCATTTTGGTATCTTTGTTCATTTCTCCCTCTTCCTTTCCCCGTAATATTTACAAGAATAAAACAGCTGGAGCGTTGGAGGTTAAGAACGGTCCTCTTTGCTTAACCCATTTCTCTGGTTTTCTTCAGGCTATGAGTGTGTTGCTGATGCCACACAATATTCCATCCAGCTTCAACCTGCTTGCCAACATGGTGGATGACATCTGGCATTATGCAGGAGATCAGTCTACCGATGTAAGTCTGAGGAGGGGGGTGGTAGCATTTGGGATTTAGAAAGGCCATGGGGAGGTTTGAAATACGCTGCTTTGCAGGGCAAACATATTTGGGGCTTTCTTTTTTTTGGGGGGGGGGAAGTGCAGTTCAAGATTCAAAGGAGGTGGGCACAGGACATACATTCACTGAGTTCACATGTTGTGCTAGACTCCCGTGGCTTTGGCTTAATATATTGTAAAACATGGCTTAGGGCAGGGGTGGGGGTGTCTCCAAACTTGGCAACTTTAAGACTTGTGGACTTCCTTCCAGAATTCCTCAGCCAGGATGGCTGGCTGAGGAATTCTGGGAGTTGAAGTCTACAGATTGCAGTCACCATAGTTGCCCACTCCTAGTTTAGAGCGATGTTTCTCAATCTTTGCAACTTTAGACTTCTGGGGATTCTGGAAGTTGAAGTCCACAGATCTTGAAGTTACTAAGTTTGAGAAACACCGGCTTAAAGAAGATCATATCTGTCCACCTGTTACAGCTGCAGTTGCTTAGTTCCTGGTGCAACTCACCTTAAAATGATGCCCAGTAGAAATGGATGCAATATGGGAGATTAGAGGGATTGGCGTGACCTCATTCAGGGCTAGAGAAAAGTTCTATCTCCCACCTGCTGGGTTCAAGCTGCTATGGACTGCAGGGAGAAGACATGTTCAGGCTTCTTGTAATTCAGAGTAGTTGTTTCTAATCGTCCTGGCAAACCTGTTCTCCAGGAAACGTATAATTAAGTGAGATATTGTACGCAACACTCATGCTTCGTCTCTAAAGAGAAGGGTTAGGTTTATGAGCAAAGGGACATCTGTTAATTCTTAAGATTGGCTTGGGGATCACTGGTACAGATAGTCCTTGATTTACGACAGTTCTCATTTAGTGACCATTCAAAGTTACAACGCCACTGAAAAAAAGTTTTTCACTGGCTGTTTTTCAAACTTGCGACAGTTGCTGAATCCTTTCTGACCAGCAAAGTCAATGAGGAAGCCAGATTCACTTAACAATTAGTTGCTAACTTAATAACTGCAGTGATTCACTAAGCAACTGTGGCAAGAAAGGTTGCAGAATGGGGCAAAGCTCACTGAACAGCTGTCTTGCTTAAGACCATAAATTTTGGGCTCAGTGATGGTTGTAAATCGAGGATTACCTTTATCAAGGCTGCCCTGGTTCTAGATGAGAAGATGCGTTTTGTTTTATAAATTAAAACCACCCGTTTCTACTCTGTACCACAGAAAAGCCAGTACTGTAGTGATATATCAAATAGGGGCTGCGTTTCTATTTTTGCCTGTCTTTTTTAATATTTATGAATCACCATTCCTTTTTTGGAGACATCTAAAGTGTTGTGCAATGCAATCTTATAAAAACCGTAAACACTGCCAAATCATCAGATCGAAACAGATAGCACTTTTACCATGGGTTTAATTCTGCCAACGAATAAATCCGTGCCACATTCAAATGTTCATGGCAGAGGGATGAAAGAGCTGTCGCCCTGTCACGGTGCTGGCGGATGGACGGAGCCTTAGTGCGGGAGTGAAGCCACCCCTGCACTTTCCGGAACAGCATTCCGCCTTCATCACGGTGCATTTGCTGTGACTGCCTCCATGGCCTGCCCGCTGCTCTCTTAGCGCCTTGCATAGCAGAGTGAAATTTAGCACACTTCACAATGGGGAAGACGGGGTCCCCTTATTCTGGAGCCTGCTATGACGCAGAGCGTTGGCGACAGCTTGATCTCGCCTCCTGGATGTCAGTTGCTTTTCCTGCAGAGTCGCCAGTGTTGTGATGCCTCACCTCTCTTCCGGCCAGCTGGTCTTTGGTGAGCTGCTCCTGGGCTCGTCAGCCTCTTGATGTCAGATTCCTACCACCCAGTATCAGTTCAGGGGTTCCTTCCCCCTCCCTCCCCTGGGAAACAGAGAGAGAGA